AGAACAAATGGACAAACAGAAAACAAATAGCAAATGAGAGAAAACAGGTAATAGTAATAAGCTGTGCTCTAATTGGGCAATTTTCACGATACGCATCTCTCTCAAAAGACTCATATCCGCAGAACATGAGGAGCTCTTAACATAGATATTAAAAAAGTAATCAACTCAAAGAAATGTGCAAAAGGCTTGAACAGAAACTTTACAAAAGAGGATGCCCAAATTTCCAATGAACGTGAAAAGAAGCTCACCTTCATAATACATAACGGAAATGCCAACCAAAATCATAATATAATACAACTATACACTCACAGAATGTTTAAAATAAAAAAATAGTACCAAGTGTTGGCAAGGGTGCAGAGCAACTTAAACTGCCATGCTTTTCAGTTTAAATTGCTTTTCAGTTTAAATTGCTCTAAGTATAAATCAGTTCAACCACTTTGGAAAACTGGTTAGCATTAACTACCAAACCTAAACATATGCTTAGCCTATGACCTAGCAATTCCATTACTATGGCTACATCTAACAGGATAGGATGCGTGTCTGCCAGAGTATACAGACAAGAATGTTTCTAAAAGCTTTATTTATGATACACAAAACTATAAATAATCCCAATGTCCATGTACAGGAGAACTGGTAAGTTCTGATATGCAGAAATAAAACAGAATAAACTACTACTACATGAAAGAACAGGGATGAACCCCACAGCATTATATTGAGGGGAATAAGCTACACACAAAAATGTAAATAATGTAAGATTCCATTTTTATAATGTAGCAGGATAAGCAATACTAACAGACACTGAAAGAATTCATGTTAATGGGGTGTGTTATTTATTGGCATTAGGCATGAAGAAACTTTCTGATATCACTGTTTTGGGTAATAGTTATAGATATATATGTGTGTATATATATATCTACATATATATATGTAAAACTTATCAAACTGTACACTTAACATTTGCATATTTTATGCACATATATACACATTATTCCACAACAACACACACACACCACACATAAGTGAAAGTGCCTTCCTAAAAAATGTGTGTGTGGGTGGTGGGGGGACAGGGATGGGTCCTAAAATGATTATTTGAAATGTTGTTTTTTAAAATAAGAAATAACTTATTCTCATTTTAGAATGTTTGAAAAGTATAGAAATATAAAAAACACTTGCAGTTGTATAATTAACAATGGGAATGAATTTTTTCTTATGTTTATTACTCATTTCTATGAAGCATCTGCCAATATATTATCCATTGTGCATTTATTTAAAAATATTTATACTGTAATGTTGCATGAGTTTTTCTTGCAAGGAAATGAATATTTAGATTATCATATATGACATCTTTAAAAAAATTTTTTAAATGTTTTTTATTAATTTCAGAGAGGAATAGAGAGACACAGAAATATCAATGATGAGAGAGAGTCATTGATCAGCTGTCTCCTGCACACCCCCTACTGAGGATCGAGCCCATGACCCCAGCTGGGAATTGAACTTGACCTCCTGGTTCACGGGTCCCCATGGGCTCAACCACTGAGCCACGCCAGCTGGGCATCATATATGACATCTTTTTTTGCCTTTTAACTTTGTTTATTATGTTTCTTAATGCAGGAACTTTAAAATTTTTATTCAATCAAAACCACCCAATAGTTCCATTCTCATATACTCTATCACCTTTTTTCCTGAATAAAACCTTACTCATCCCCATACAGTAGTTTCTTTTGTCTCTTTAGTTTCTTTTTCCAAACTTAACTTTTTTACTCATTGGTGTGTGTGTGTGTATGTGTGTGTGTGTTCACATGCACACATGTTGTGAAAAGAAACTCTATGGACTTTTCTTCTGACTGCATAGGCCTTATGGCTATTTGGTGAAAGTCCTCCTGGCATTGCATTTTGTTGACGCTCACTTTTAGTTACAATTGCTATTACATGAGTTTTGTCTTGCTTTTGTTATTGATGTATTCATCAATACGTTAGTGGAAAATTAGAAGGAGCTGTATGAAAGACTGTCATCCAGGTATTATTATGTATCATGAATAAATCACTCTAAAGAAAAATCGTACTTGGAAAATTGTACTAAGGTAGTATTAGGGGCATTGCCGTTAACATTGTGCTTTTATTAGTCACATTGGTTTCCCATCCAGATTTTTAAAAATCACTTTTTGTTATACCTATTCAGAATTAATTTCTAGGAGTCAGTCTATTTCCAGGATGGCCTTGTTACTTATTTAAGGTTAGGAGTTGTCCTTCAACTTTTTGGTTACCCAGCTTTTTACTACTGCATTCATTATAAGGCCACCAGTAGTTCTAGACAACTAGATTTAGATGCCTCTCTTAGCTTTGACACTCTGCCTCCCAAGAAGCTCCTAAGAGGCTATGGGTATTTCTACTCTTTGTATCGAGACACTTTGCTTACTGAACTGTTAGGTTTATTTATTACAGGCAGTGAATAAGGAGGAGCCTTTTTGTCTGAAATGAATGATAAGCTCCTAATATTTGTTTACCATTCCAACTTAAAAATAGTTGTCTGCTGCATACCGCCTGGCGAAAGGCCTTAAGGACACTATAGTATCTAGGGAAACGCTATACAGATGCAGTAGTGTCACAGGTGTGGATAAACTCCCTGAGGCCTTTTTGAAGATGGGGACTGAGGTGCTAAAAGGATGTTTGAGTAAACAAGGAAATGAGGTAAAACAAACATAGAGATTAGTGAACATCTGAGTATCTATTATTGCATTCCATAGTTATACACAAATAAACTTAGGATTTATTTTTTCCTTTTGGTATCTTTGACCTATATATTGGTGATTAAATAACACAAACTTGATGGAGATATTTGTAAAACTATAATTCTCTACCGTTTTAGTGGAGTATATTGGTTAAACTCTAGATAAATCTGAGTTTAACCCTAAGTTTCAGGGTTTAATAGTTATGTGACCTTGAACAAGTTATTTTGTCTCTAAATCTTGGTTCGTTATCTTTAAAATAGGGGTAAAAATAGTACTCCCCTCATGGAGAGGAATAATAGAAGTATTATATATGTGTCCACGTTTATGTACAAAATGACATTTGGTCTCAGGTAAGATTCCAAGGGCTGGGGGATTAAAGAGAGATTTCCAGTAGTGGAGTAAGGAACAGATTCTGAGCAGGGAAATCACACCAGGGTGTTCATGTGAGAGACAGAGAGCTGCAGCAACAGGTTCAAAGAACGTTTCCATAGAAATAATGTTTCCATGGGAATCAAAGAGTTTTTCAAGACTATATCTAAATAAGACCTCCAGCAGGGAAAAAAAAGAGTAAGAGAAACAAAGAACTATTTCAATAGAAGATATCCCTCACAAAAAGGAGTGGGACAAGAAGAACATATGTACACACAAAGGTGAAGACCATCTGGAAACATTCTCTTAGTCACACTGGTTAGGGGTTGTCGCTAATTCCTCAGTAAAGAGGAACTAAAGGTGAGATCAAATATACTGCTTACCCTGTATAACTCCTCCAGTGTAGCTACATATAATCACTTTTACATAATCACTGAATGGGAACAGAGAGGCATAAGCTCCCCAGATCTCAAGAGAGGAAAGAAGTCTGTGTCCTTCAGAAACTGAATAGAACTGTGAAAAATATGGAAACAGTTATGAAATTGAAATGCACATTTATTCACGAAATAAAAAGTAAAAACGCTGTAAATAAATAAGCATTCAAGGATTTTGGTCAAGAGTTAGCAGGATATGAAAAGCGGGAGAGAAGCAAACCTAGTCTCACACCATGCTTCTATGATTTCTGGATTTCAATGACCAGAACAATATCCACACCCCAGCACCTGTCTCCTCTCCTCTACCCAAACGGGGACTGGCACAAGGTTGTGGAGTCATTTTACTAAGCACTGACATTTAAAAACAGTCATAAATCACCATTTACTATCTCCACCATTTCACAAAAGAATTAACTGATACCAAAAACATAGGATTGACTTAAACTCCGGAGAAAATGCATTATGAAAAACTCACTACTTTATTCCTGTTTTCCTCATTTTGGTGCTGGTATGTGACAACCTCCCTGGGGACTGGGATTGGTTCATGGACTAGGATTTCAAACCAACTCCCCAATACACCCTTGTGTTCCAGCGTCATGGACTAAGGCGCCTACACCACCAACTAAAACATTTTACTCCTATGCAAATACAGTCAGTACCAACAAGTCCCTTATCAATTTTAACAAACCTTCACCTTTTCAGGCATTGACATGTATATCAATATTGATCCTACCTGATTATTAGAGTCAAGATTCCTTTTGGACATGCTACAAATAATAACCAAACCGTTTGTTTAACTCTTATAGCACTAACAATATTGAATTGCAATTTTTGTTGGCATGACTATCTCTGTTAAAATACACTAAACTCCCGAAGGCAGGAACTAGTTTTCCTCATCTTGGTGCTCTTACAACTAAGCAATACTTGGCACATTATAAATATTTGTTGAATGACTGAATGAATGGCTCTGTTCAGGTTATATCTTGAAATATCATAATTATATATAGCACTTCCCTGCTACGATTTTATGGTTTATTGGTGCAAGTAGAAACTGGCTCTGGCCTTCAACATTCCCTCAGTCATTCTTCAGATATATAAACACCTTACTAAGTGCCTCACACTGGGCTAACTACTAAAAATACTCAAAGAGCAGTATGTAGTTGCCTCCGAGGATGTCAAGAACAGTTCTACTCTGGAGCTCACGTTACCCTTTTAGCCCAGTGCCAATTTCTTGAATGATATAAATGTAAACATTCTAATCATTTTAAATTTCAATAGCGTGGACGCTGCTCTGATATGTTTTCTTAATGAGAATAGAACCTGTCAACCACTATAAGCAGCAATACCCCGTCAGCTTATGGAAGAGCCCTCCTCTCTAACAGGTAACCACCGCCATCCCCGCGACACTGCTCGCGTAAGGCGGAGCCTCAGCCTCAGCCGCTTGCAAGGAAACGGTCGATCCGCTTACTGTTGCAGGTCTTGTTGTATTTGCTGTTCTCCTGCGCAAACCCTTCCAGCCGGCACTGGAAACGATGCTGCCAAAACTCTTGAAACCAAGGGTTTCGGAGGTTTGTTTCTGGCCGGAGCTGCAGATAGTAATCATCGAACCACTTGACGTCGGGAGACTGGAGCTTGATTGTGATCCCACCAACCGCTTCTCGCTGATAGCCATCCGTCACGTCATACCTGTCAGCCCAGCCGTCACTGCGGGGAAACAGAAGACCCCTCAGCTTAGAACAGGTATCTCCTAAGCTGCTGAGCCCACCGGCTTTCCTTTCGAAGAGATGTCAGTAAGTGGCTACTTCAGGCCACACGAGGGTCCTGAATGACGTCTACGTGATTATTGAGATAGCAGCTTGTTAAAATAAAAAAATGCAACGCAAAGGAAACTCTAGGTCTAAGAGGGCTGGAAGCTGCCAACCCCACTTACCTTGAACTGCAGAAAATAACCTAATGGTTTGGCAGAATTTTACTGGTTGCAAAATACAATGTATGCCTGGAAGCTGCACAATATCACCATTCACACTATTTACTTAACATTTTATAGCTAGGTCAGGTTAATTTTAAATACATTTTTTTCTTAATAGTAATTATAATGATCATAAAATAAGAATAAAAATATTTCTAAAACATGCTTATTATTACTTTAACCATCCTATGGCATGATACTTTTTTTCTTTTTTAGATTTTACAAGTGAACTTTTAAAGAGGTTAAAAAAACTTGATTGATTATGGACATTCTATTACACATTGATTTGTCAGAGCCTCAAATGGAGGTCCTTGTAGTCCATAGCTCATATACTCTTTCCCATCCCATCCTATTTCTCTAATACATTTAAAATACACAAACGAAATTCTGTCTTACATTAGAGTGACTGAAAGAACATCTTAACAATGTGCCATCAAGGATGGTGTCAGGGGACATACTCCTCAATATCGCTATCATTCTGTGCACTGATCACTCAAAGTAATCACTCTGGGAATTTTAAAGTAAAAGAGTTAAAATCCGAGAGTCCATGTGATAATGGTCTGAGTATAACAGAAAAAGGAAAAGTATTCTAAGCTTATTAGAAAAGTACATGAGACACAACACTGGAAATAAAAGACATGAAACGATGCTTGTATCAAATGTGTTCACACCTTGGGACATTCGGGAAAAAAGACACTGACTTTTCCCATCCTCTCTCCCACGGGAATCTGTACAACTTGTGCTATGCACCTGCTGCGACCCAAGGGGGCGGGCCTGCCTTGGAAGAGGTGCAAGTGCCCTTTCAGGAAATATAAAGAAAGTCAAGGGAAAATTAACAATGAAAAAGGAAAAAAGAACACTAAGAGGGAAGAGAAGGGATATGGAAAGGGTTGAGTGGAAAGATTCACATTAACAATCATTGTTCACTTAATTGATGTTAAGATATTTCTATGTATAGGATTGTTAATTCCTTTTTATCATCCTTCAAATGCATTCTTATCCTTTACACTTTATTTCTGCAGGCAAGGAGCATGCTCCAATATTTTGCATATAAAATCAGTGCCAGGGGAAGTATTATGTAAGTAAGTAATTAACATAAATGCAAAAAGCATTTAGGTTTTTTTTAGTACACTCTTCTATATCAACTCTGACTTAAAAATTGATAGTGAGAGTTGTTCCAGAGGCTGTCAAATACTCATGAAGACATCATAGGGGCTTAGGGACAACTTGAGACGTTTCCTAAGGCCTCAGTGGGTGGGAGAGGAGAAAAAATAAACTAACAAAATTAACGGTTTCTTCCTCTAAGTCCTGCTTGACAAGAAGGTGTGTCATTAAAAATGATCTATGGTGAAATTTCAAAAACGTTTGTGTCAGATCAGGAAAAACATAATAATGCGATATGTTTCGTCCCTGTGTGGAAATTTGCTGCTTCACACATTGTCTTCCCTCCAGATTTTTATTTTCAGCTGCAGATTTTACTTAAAGCTGACAAGTTGAAATGAAGTGGGCTTGTTTGCCTCATTTTCTCCCTCTGTTTTGGAGGCTTTATCGTATCACTGATATGAGAGTGGGTCTCGCTGGCACTGGAGGAGATGCATGGGCGTGCTGCGAACGGGGCAGGGAGCTCTGCTCGTCAAGCACCAATCTCCAAGGAAGAGAGAATGTAAATTGCTCCTTTTGTTAACACTAGCTTGCTCTCATGTAAAACCATGATTATGAATATTGCATAAGAAATGTAAGATTATAATGGGCCCAATTTACCCTTCACAATTCATCTATTGAATTTAATGGAGATTGTAAAAGCCAGTCCTGATAAACTTTTTTGGAGGTTATAGTTCCGTGAAACAGTGTCAGAACCAGAGTGTGTTAATCTACTTATCTCTCATCACGTTCTTTAGCTTTTTTTAAAAAAAGGTATATCTCTTTTCTATATTTAAGAATTTAGCCAGAGATATTTAGAGTTGTGAGTTTAAAATAATTTTGGCCTATATGTTTTCATTCAACAGCAAAACAAAAATCATAGAGGAGTTTGTGTGTAAACAGAAAATTCCAATATCTATGTGACAAAACAGGGTTATTCTATTTAAACTTATTGGGGATTATCTGCTATGTAAGTCTCAAGAAACTTCATTCCATGCTGGCTAAGTTAGATGGTGCTGTATTGACTTTAGGTTATTAAAAATTAACATTTTCATAAAAATGTGCTTCTAAGATTTGTGTTAAGATGATAGGGTATCTCTACGTAAGGAGCAATAAATTTAAAAGTAAAATGAAATACCAAGAAAACTGAGTTTAATTTTCTACTATCTAATGCTTTCTGTTGTGTTGATAGAGTGGACTGTCAAGATTCTGTCACTACTTTCATGCCCTTGGATGACAAATATTTTACCAAATCAGGAAAAAAAGGGCAGGAAGATAAGGAAACAAACTGGAAATATACCACATTTAAGGCACTTTTCTAGATTTTGTTTGTATATATGTATGTATTTATGTTTGTATGTATCTCCTATCTACCTGTAATCTATATATCTACCCATCTATCACCTATCTGTCTGTCTTTCCATCCGTCCATCTAACCATCCGTCCGTCCATCCATCATCGACTTAATTTCTTTCTCTTCTCACTGGTTTTTTATCGATCTCCTCTAATCCATTTCATTATTTCCTTTCCAATTCGCTGATTATGAGTCCATCCTCATTATATACAGATTCTGTATTTTCAGATTCACCTATTTGCTAAAATTTATTTTTGTGTTTTCTTTTTTTTTTAAAAATTGATTTTGCTGTTGAAAATAACCCCCAAGCATAGTGCTAATGTGTTATCCGGAGTTCCCAAGCACAAGAACTCTGCAATATACCTTATATAGGAAATACATATATCAAATCAGCTGCATTTGGCCATGAATAAAGTGCTGTTTTCTGTGAGTTTAATGAATCAACAATATACATAAAAAATAAGGTGTTTTTAGACAGGAACACACATAAGCAAGGTCATGTATTGACGAGCTGATGAACATGTTGTGACTAGAAGCTCACAGCAATTTAAGCCTATATTTCTCCTAGGAGCAATGATCAGTAGTCACTTATTCAGTGTTTGGTGCATGTTTATAGAACATACCTACTGTGAATAATGAGAACTGAGTGTACATATAAATTCTTAATTTGGATGTTCTCTTAGGCATCCAGTCTTTCTTTGGCTATAGAAACAGAGTAACTTGGATATTTGAAATAGGAAAAAACATTTTAAAATTACTTAGGTTGGCCTAACTAAAGGAGGCATCTTCACTATGAACCCATCCTCAAAACACCTCAACAGATTCCTTAGATTCCCTTTAGATCTTCCCTGCAGACATCTTAAGGACATGCTCATTTCATAAGGATTTATCTTTATTTTCCCCCCTAAGATTGCATTACCAAAATATATACTCCTATTCTATGATCTACCCTTCCCTCTTTCTCCTCTCAAACCCCAACTCCATACTTCTCATAATTATCGACACATAAAATTTAATTCTTCTCTGTTTTCAACAGAAGGGTCTTGTTCAAAACAAAATTGACTCTGGAATTCCCCAGTCAAAATTTCCCTTCTATATGTCTACAACTTTTCTTATTTTCTTCAACATTTATAATATGTACCTATCATGGATTAGATTATTTTGTGGCACTAAACAGTTCCAATAACTCAGTGGTTTAGAACAAAAATTCATTTCTTGCTCAGCCTTTAGGTTCACTTGCAGGCCTATAAACTGCTCCATGTCACCTTCACTCTGAGACATAGGCTGAAAGAGCAGTTTCCTTCTGGAACGTAGCCTGTCTTGTTGAAGGGGAAAAAAAGAGAGCATAATGGAACCATCAAATGGTTCTTAAGCATGCCGATTAGAAGTGACACACATTTCAACTGGCCCCAACAAATCATAAGGACAAACCGGACCAGAATGGGACAGGTGCATATGATTTTTCCCACATAGTAGATCAATGAATGCTGTAAAAAAAAAAAAAAAAAAATGCAATCTACCACATTTACTATGTGCTGAAATTGTATTGAAACTGAGAAAAACATAAATAGGTTTTAGACACTGTACTCCAGAAGCTCACAGTCTAGAGGAAGGAGGGGAGAGGAGGGCATTCAGATAAATAAATGACCGCATACAAAGGAAGACTGTTAGAGGTACGAGCCAAATGTGCTGGGAGAGACAGCGGATAACTGAGTCACTCTTCACTTGACAAGGTTCAAGTTTGAAACATGGATAGTGGAGCAATAAAAGTATTTTGAAACGTTCTAGATACTTGAAGGAATTTGGGAAGCAGGGAATAGCGAATATTAAGCGCTGCAGCTCTGAAGCATGCACCAGGCAGGGAGCGCAGGGGACAGTGAGCTGAGGAGGCCAATCGTCAATGGCCTTCGTACTGTCCCCAAAGCGCCGGACTGTATCTTTCAGGTAACGGGGAGCCTGGGGGCTTCTGAGGCAGGAAAGGACATGAAGAGGGTAAGCCCTGGAAGTGGTAACGGTGCGAGGGACAGGTCAGAGCAGTTATTGATGCACGTTAGAGACCCAGGGTAGAAAAGGAGCTGCAGTGGCCAGGCAAGCCTATGGGGCCTGATCTCGAGCAGCAGCCGTGGGAAGGATGGGCCTTATTTGTGAGCAATTCCAGGAATCCCTAGGACTAGGTGTGCAGATTAGAGGGAGTAATGGGGATTCTTCTGGTTGATGGGAGAAAATTAGGGATACTGTAGC